ATAAATAGAGTTTGATAAGCTGTGTCGAATGGCGTTTGAATGAACTTTCTAGCTGTTAAACCTTCCGAGTTAATTGAAGAACAGTGTGTCAAAAACGTAACAGCGTTACGTTTGGACAAGCGGATCCACCACTTTGGCTATTTCTTGAATTGCTGGATTTATCATTTTTTGGATTTGATGTTGGATTTTTTCTGCTTGTTGATTATGGTCATCGATTTTTCTTACTAAGTTTGTTATCTGTGAAGTTAGGGTTGCAGATATATTTGATAATTGACGATTGATTGAATTTAAAAGTGTCATGATTATTTGCTCAACGTTTTCGAGGTTGTTTTTTATTTTTGGCGCAGTCACTGAAGCGTAAGATTGTCTGCTGTTTTCTTGACCGCTATCCAGTGTTGCGTTCATATGTGAGTTCGTTGTATGTGGGTTAAGTTGCGGATATATTGTTGGAAAAGCCATTTGATTATATTCATAAATCTTTTGTTGCTGAATTAGTAGTTGAGCTCGATGTAGTTTTTGTTCATCTGCAATTGCCTTAAGTTTTTGTTGAACAATAGGACATGATGAATGACCGGAGTAGTGGTGCTGTTGACAATTTACGCATTTTATTTCGTTTAGACATCCATTCTCAAAGAAATAGTGTTGTCTACACCTTATACATAGTTGTTTGCTGATGCATTGATTGGTATAATGGTCATGTCTGAAACATTTTTTACATTTATTCATTTTGACAGAAGAATAGTAAGGCCAAATTTGTAATTTCATATAGTTCAGCTCAATTTCACCTAGAGAAATTAGATATTTTACATATTTTGATGAAAAAAAATCAGCTCGAACAACATTTAAAGGTCTGCTTTGCGAGCAATGAGGCGAGTTAGTTTTATAAGTGACATGTGTTTTGCTTGCAGGTCATCGGTTATTTCGCGATCATTCCATGTTGCCTGAAAATCTCGGATGACTAGTGAATATGAATCGGGTAATCTTGTTGAAAATTTCACTTTCAATTCAATTTCATTGATTTTATTTGGTCATTGTGACTGATTCAGTAATTCATCAAGTGTAGGTAAATCAGGAGCGAAAATTAGCAAAACATTTCGGAATCCAAATCTTCCAATGATGTTGATGTTCTTATTGTTTTTGTGTTTCCACTTCTTTATCAGCTCTTCGACCAATTTACGGTCCGTTTTGTCGTGTTCATTCATAAGCTCGATAGTGATTGGAGGAAAATCATTTTGATTTAATGAGGTCATTTGTTGACTTGATGAATAAATATCTGTCGTGTTATTTTGTCGATATATTGTTTGAGGACTAATCTCGCTTTGCACGTCGGAATCAGATCGTAACCTTTTGTTTATTGCTGGTGTCTGAAAACCTGGTTTAGGAATTGGAAATGATGATGATTATTCATCCATTTCCATATGAAAAGAATTTGTTTATACGCGATATATAATATAAAAAGATAAAAAGAAAAAGGAGAAGACGCGTTTCACCACTATTATCGAGAGGAGTGAATCCATTGCGACGCAGTTAATTGTTTTTCTGTTCTGTACGTGTTTTTCCATTGAATGTTGTTAAATTTCTGTTTTTGGCTCATGGTCAGATGTATCCTTTCGAGATCTCAACGTTGACGAGCGTAAGTGATCAGGCTGAATTCGAGTATGCTATTTTCATTTACCGAAAACATACCCTTCAACACCTTTCCTTGGTGACACGTTTTATCTGTTATTGACTTCACATGCTTTTTTTTTGACGAAATTTAATGGATATGACGGATAGTAAACATATTGGTTCAACTTGAAAAAGTGAAGCTCCTTCTACCTAATTGAATTAAGCATGATATACTCATGCAATTTCAAAAAAAAAAAAGACTTTTGAATATGAATTAAACAAAAGAACGTTTCAGATAATAGAAAATGTTTTAGTTGCCTAGAAAATTGTTGAATGCGAAAGGTTATTTTAATGCTCCCAGTTCATATAATTTTTATTTTGTAATTAAATCTTTATATAATTGTTCAATTATGAATTTTTAACTTGAAGAATGATATGCACTCTTCTCAATAGATGTACAGAAACTTTTTCTTTCCTTCTGTTGTCAGCATATATATAATTATATATATATAAAGGGTGTTCTATCATAACTGAGGATAATTTTTTCTTCGTATTTTTCATAGTTTTACTCGACGTAGAAGACTGAAATGTTTATCACATATGCATCTCATCCAGATCTTTTATTGCTGAAAGTTTCAGCTCTCTAGCTATAACTAGTGATAAAATACATCGGCAAAACTAAATACATAAATTTTCGTAATCTATTTCGCAGGGTACTTCCATGCGTAGTCAACCAAAAACTCAAAAAGTATCCAAAAATTTTCTTCCGCATAAGACTTTGTAGAGCTTTTTTCGCTGATCCTTTTGATAAAAGAATTTTTTGAATTTCGTTGACAAATGACGATGTTATGATCAAAATATTTATCATAAAAACGGAAGATGTCAGATTTTTTTGATAGAAATATTGTATACGATGCTCAATCGTGATTTATTCATTCTATTCGTCCGTATCTGAGAAACCGTCTATAGGATTTTGTAGAGCAAACTTTCCTCTACCAAAGCTACTATGTCACACTTCTTCAAAAAATAGCCATTCTGACATACATGAATCGATTTTTCCTTACATTTTAAGCTATTTTACAGTGTTTAATTTTTTAACCATAACATTGTCATTTCTGACAATGTTATTCGAAAAGTCTTTTTATCAAAATAGCCATCGAAAAAAGCTCTACAAAGTCTGATACGAAAGAAAAGTTTTTTGACACTTTGTGATTTTTTCGTTGACTGCCCTTAGAACTACCTTACAATATTTTCGAAGTAAACATATATGCAGAAATCGATTACCAAAATTTATGTATTCAGTTTTGCCGATGTAATTTATCACTAGTTATAGCTAGAGAGCTGAAACTTTCAGCAATAAAAGATCTGGATCAGATGTATATGTGATAAAAATTTCAGCCTTCTATGTCGAGTAAAACTATGAAAAATACGAATAAAGAATTGTCCTCAGTTATTAGGGGACACCCTTCATATGTCATCGCGAACGAAAGAACGAAAGAAAAAAATCGAGAAAGAGAAAAAGAGGTCTTCTTGCAGGAAATCGTGTTTAAAAAATTTTGCTTGGGACTATACCATACCGCGCGCTCATATTCTAGGGTAATATTCAGTTTTTTTTGTTCCTTCTAACAATACCGATTTTACGTATTAGACTTTTACAAAATATTTTTCGACCGTTCGATATGTTGTTCTAATAAATTTATTTGTAAATGAAATCGAAAAGATTTATAATATTTAAAGAGAAGAAATAAATGTAACAAGAAACTTAGAATAAAAGATTCCATTTGATACTAACTACGAATAATAATAAGATTTCTCAATGGAAGAATTTCATTCTTTTTAAATCAAGAGAATTGGATTTTCATTTAAAAATGGAGAAGAATTTATTATCGATACTCTCGTTACAAAGATCAATCTAAAGAAATAGAATCAAGATTATCGTTCTATTAATAAAAAGAATAAACTTCTTTTTCGATTGATATGAAATATTTTATTATTGTCTGTTTGTTTAAATAAAACTACTTGTGAATATTCTGTAACAGACAATGTCTGTTGAAGAATGCACGCGATGCTGCTAGTCTTCACTTGTCTTCTATCGAAACGATGATGATGATCATGACTGATAGAAACAAAAAAGGAATAAGATAGAATTTATATTAATAAATACCTCAAATAATGATTTTATTCAGACGAGTTTTTATTCAAAATAAAGAGAGAGTATATGAATAAATATTCATATGAAAAAAAACCGAATTGAAAACAGATGTTTACATGTTGTTAAATAATCGAATTGTAATTTTAGTAGTTTAACCTAAGGATAATCGTTAATTCTTTTTTGAGAATTATTTAAATCGATTTTTACGTAACAATTAGTATTTCAATATTTATCTCATGATATTTTAATGTTTAATTATTGTTGAATTAATTTAATCATGATCTCAACATCACAAGTATATTGAATCGTTTTTCTTTTCTTTCCTTCATCTATCACATACGTTATGCATGAACAGCCATACACATGTACGCTCGAGCATGTACATTGAAAAAAGAAGAAGAGAGATAGACCGAAAAAAGAAAAAAAAAAGATATTGTCGTGGATCTTGCTGGAGAATCCTTTTTGTAAAAGTTTTTGCTGTGGACATGAGATGATCCGTCTCTGAAAATTTGACCATTTACTCAGTTTTTCATACTCTTTCTAATGATGTAATTGTTATCAACTCTGCGCGATATAAAAATTTTCGAATTAGTTTATATGTGAAAGAAAGCCAACAGTGGTGAGAATGATAATATTATTGTTTGATATGGATCAATGATTTTCTTTTCTTCTGTGCTTACTATAAAGCCTACAGATAGTTTTGTTTTCACCTATCAATTCAAAACAATCCATGTATCCGAGCACGATCATCGTCTTCTTGGCCTTCGCTGGCTCTGCCACTATCGTTAACAGTGCAGTAATCACTGGTACCAATGGTGCAGGCACATCTCCAGCTGAACGTCATCAGGTTACTCAGTCCCAGGCACAGATGGTTATTGATGCAGCAGTAAAACAAGCTAAAAAAATTGGTCAACCGATGAATGTGGCAGTTGTCGATTTCTCCGGTCATCTCGTTGCATTTCAGAGAATGGATAATGCATGGCCCGGATCGATTGATGTTTCAATGAAAAAGGCAAAGACCTGTTCACTGTTTTACGGTTTTACAACTGCATCACTGTACAACGCTGCACAGCCTGGTGCACCATTGTACGGTATAGAAGAAACGAATGGGGGTCTGATTGTGTTTGGAGGTGGACTCCCAATCTATAAGAAGGGCATACTGATTGCTGCTATTGGCGTTTCTGGTGGTACTGTTGATCAAGATGTGGCAGTTGCTCAAGCTGGAGTTAGTGTATTCAACTAATAATTAACTTACTATTAAGATGATTTATAATGCAGTGGTTACCTTTTTCTTACGATTCTTTCTTTGATTTTCTAATAAATGCTTTTTATCTCTTACTGGAATTCAGTGAGATAGCCACATCAAGAATAAGAAAACACCATTTTGATTTCGTTCTGCACACTATTCACAGATGTTGATCGTCATACGGCCACAACGAGCTGTGAATGAGACATACTTGTAGATAATTCTCTGTCCAATTAGAATCAAGAAAATGTTGCTGCTGCGCGTATAGATCGACGAAAGCAAAAGTTCATATTCTATAAAAGATCATCCGTATTCTATTTTGAAACAGATTCTGAAGAGGTCTTCCTTTCTGACGTTCCACTCTCTTGACCAATTCTGTGTTTAAATTTCGAGAGCATTATCATGCATTTGGCAAACATAAGCACATATATCCTATAAATGCTTGTTCCTTCATGTATTTTGGTTTGTTAAAGTAGAGGTATCATCAGTTTTGAGCTAAACAGCTGACTGATTTCATTCGCATTCGATAGAGCAGCAACGCAAGTGCAACGAAATGTTTCTGTGTCTGAATTCGAAGCCACGCATGCATGTATGCTCCCTCTATGCAGCAAGAAAGAAGAAAAAAAGAATCGAACGATGTCAAAGCACGTGGCTTTACTTATCTGTCTTTTCATCATGTTGTTTGTGCAGCGCTGTGCTCTCTCTCTCTCTCTTCCATTCATTATATATCGATTCGTTTTGACAGATGGACAATAAGACCCTTTCTCATTATCTCCATGAATTAACATTATTGTCACTCAAAAGAGCGACAACAACAACAACCTGTGCTGTGTGCAAGTAGGCAAATGAAAACAACAGCGAAACACTCAAGGACAAGCCACTGTATTCAAAACACGCGCCCGCTGCTGATGCGAAGAAGAAACGAAGTAGACGAATCGTCTTTTTAGACATCTGTTGTAGACTGAGAACAAAAGCGAATGCATACATGAAATTCAAACATGACCAGTCATATTCTAAAGTGGTGGCATATGAACTGGTTCGAAAATTTTTATGTTGTCCAAAGCTGATAAAAATTACATCATTAGAAAGAGTATGAAAAACTGAGTATATGGTCAAATTTTCAGAGACGGGTCATCTCATATCCACAGCAAAAACTTTTACAAAAAGGATTCTTCAGCAAGATCCACGACAATATCTGTTTTTTTCTTCTTTCAGTCTATCTCTCTTCTTCTTTTTTCAATGTACATGCTCGAGCGTACATGTGTATGGCTGTTCATGCATAACGTATGTGATAGATGAAGGAAAGAAAAGAAAAAGGATTGAATATGCTTGTGATGTTGCGATGATGATTAAAGTAATTCAACAATAA